AATGAGCTCCTGCTTTCATTGACTCTTTTTATTGTTTTATTCTTCTCTATTTTATTTATTTCTGCTCTAATCTTTATTATGTCCCTCCTTCTACTGACTTTGGGCCTCAATTGTTATGCTTTTTCCAGTTTCATTAATTGTGAGTTTAGACTGTTCATACGGGATTGTTCTTCTTTCCTAAAGTAGGCCTGTATTGCAAAATACTTTCCTCCTAGCACACCTTCAGTGCATCCCACAGATTTTGCGGTGTTGAATTATTGTTTTCATTTGTCTCCATATATTGCTTGATCTCTGTTTTTATTTGGTCATGGATCTATTGGTTATTTAGGAGCATGCTGTTAAGCCTCCATGTGTTTGTGGGCCTTTTTTGTTTTCTTTGTGTAATTTATTTCTGGTTTCATACCTTTGTGGTCTGAGAAGCTGGTTGGTACAATTTCAATCTTTTTGAATTTACTGAGACTCTTTTTGTGGTCTAGTATATGATCTATTCTTAAAAATGTTCCATGTTCACTTGAGAAGAATGTGTATCCTGCTGCCTTTGAATGGAGTGTTCAGTAGATCTGTTAGGTCCATCTGTTCTAATGTGTGGTTCAGTGCCTCTGTCTCCTTATTTATTTGCTGCCTGGTTGATCTGTCCTTTGGAGTGAGTGGTGTGTTGAAGTCTCCTAAAATTAATGCATTGCATTCTATTTCCCCCTTTAATTCTGTTAGTATTTGTTTTGCATATGTAGGTGGTCCTGTGTTGGGTCTATAGATATTTATACTAGTTATATACTCTTGTTGGACTGACTCCTTTATCATTATGTAATGTCCTTCTTTCTCTCTTGTTACTTTCTTTGTTTGGACGTCTATTTTGTATGATACAAGTACTGGAACTCCTGTTTTTTTCTCCGTATTAGTTGCATGAAATATCTTTTTCCATCCCTTTACTTTCAGTCTGTGTATGTCTTTGGGTTTGAAGTGCATCTGTTGTAGGCAGCATATAGACGGGTCTTGTTTTGTTTATCTATTCAGTGACTCTTTATCTTTTGATTGGTGCATTCAGACCATTTACTTTTAGGGTGATTATCAATAGATTTGTACTTACTGCCATTGCAGGCTTTAGATTCATGATTACCAAAGGTTCAACTGTAACTTCCTTATTGTCTAACAGTCTCATTTAACTCACTTAGTATACTATTAAAAACACAATCTAAAGGTTCTTTCTTTTTCCTTTTTCTTCCTCCTCCATTCTCTACATATTAGGGATCATATTCTGTATTCTTTGTCTATCCCTTTAGTGATTTTGGGGGTAGTTGATTTGGTTTTGTATCTGCTTAGTAATTAATTGGTCTACTTTCTTTACCGTGCTTTTATTTCCTTTGGTGACAGCTATTTAGCCTTAGAAACACTTCCATCTATAGCAGTCCCTCCATAATACACTGTAGAGACAGTTTGTGGGAGGTAAACTCTCTCATGTTTTGCTTATCTGGAAATTGTTTAATCCTTCAAATTTAAATGATTATCTTGATGGGTAGAGTATTCTTGGTTTGAGGCCCTTCTGCTTTTTTGTATTAAATATATCACACCACTCCCTTCTGGCCTGTAAGGTTTTTGTTGAGAAGTCTGATGATAGCCTAATGTTTATGTGATCTTTTTTCTCTCTCTGGCTGCTTTTCATACTCTGTCCTTATCCTTGATGTTTGCCACTTTAATTATTACATGTCTTGGTGTTGTCTTCCTTGGGTCCCTTGTGTTGGGAGATCTGTGCACCTCCATGGCCTGAAAGACTGTCTCCTTCCCCAGTCTAGGGAAGTTTTCAGCAGTTAGCTCCTCAAAGCTTCTATTCCTTTTTGTCTTTCTTCTTTTTCTGGTACCCCTATAATGTGAATATTGTTCTGTTTGGATTGGTTACACAGTTCCACAGTTCTCTCAATATTCTTTCATTCCTAGAGATCCTTTTTTCTCTCTGTGCCTTAGCTTCTTTGTAGTCCTGTTCTCTAACTTCTATTTCATTTACCATCTTCTGTACATCTAATTTTCTCTCTGTGCCTTAGCTTCTTTGTAGTCCTGTTCTCTAACTTCTATTTCATTTTACCATCTTCTGTACATCTAATCTGCTTTTAAATCCCTCCATTTCAGATACTGTATCCTTTAATAATTGAGTCTCATTCCTGAATTCTTCCCTGAGTTCTTGAATATTTTTTTCTGTACCTCTGTGAGCATGCTTATGATTTTACTTTGAAATCTCTTTCAGGAAGATTGATGAGTTCAGTTTCACTTGGCCCTCTTTCTGGTGTTTGTGGGATTTGGGTTTGAATCAGGTTCCTTTGATGTTTCATATTTGTGTGTGGTGCCCTCTAGTGCCCAGAAGCTCTACTCTGTGGTGCTGCTCTGCCCCTGTAGCAATGGCAGGGGTCACAGGTGAGGGACTCTGGTGCCCTGTTCCATGAGGTCTGTTCTTTTCTCCAGGTTTATGTAGTCTGGTGCAGCCTTCTTTCTTGTTGCTCTTTCAGGATTCATTGTATTAACTATATTTTCATATTATATGTGGTTTTGGGAGGAGGTTTCTGTTTCACCTCTCACGTCACCATCTTTAATCCCCCTCTCCCAATTGAAAGTTATTTTAATTATCATCATTTAGTTTTTTGTTTAGGGATATAAGTTCTCAAGTCTATTACAGAGTGCAAGGGACTCGCCCTTATGGATGGGTGTGTTACAGTGGAAAAGGCACATGGGGTCAGTGAACATGGAAGCTGTGTGACTTGTGACAACCACTCTGCTTGCCCAAGCCCCTCCTCCTCCATGCAGGGTGCATCCTACTGGCCCTGGAAGCCACTGTACAGAGACATGTGGAGCTGGGCACACCTGCTCACTGGCTGTGGACAGGAGTCAGTGACTGGGGGAGGTGGGTTAGCTGCTGTGCACAGTGAACACTGAGCAGCAGCAAAACAATTGTACCAACTGTCTCCGCCCAGCTTCCTAGCTTCTGATTTGGACAAACCTAAACATAATCTCTGCTATCTTTTTTGCAACTATAAAATATGGCTGGACTCTGACCAGTTCAACAGATGCCCACTCGCCCTACACACCTTTGGCTGGCTCTCCTTTGGCTCCCTCTCTGCCTCCGCCTAGGCATTCACCCTGAAATGGATCCCGCAGTTGATCCCTCCCTCAGGATTTCTTAATGCCATCCCACTTCCTAGAGGAGAGGGTTTACGCAGGTACTCATGCTGAGAATTTGGTCCTTCTGCAATTGAGATCTGCTTCTGCCCCTCTCCCCACCCAGGACTCCTGCATTCCTCCTGCAGTTTCCCCCAAACTGGTCCCAGGTATAATGAAAATAAGAACAAAACTTTTTTTCATACTTATAATGACTAAGCCACCCTACTGGCATTACACATTTCTTACAAAATTCCATGATGTGGTACTATTAACCCAACTTTACAGATGAACAAAGTGAGGCACAGGGAGAGTAACAAACTTACCAAGATGACACAGAAATCAAGCTCACAGCCCAGATTCAAACTGATCAGAGCCAGGGTCTCCCCAGATAAAAGAGAACAAAGGAGCTGTCTCTTGTCAGATCAGGTAAAAATCAAAAGGGAACTAGAGAAGGTGTGATTAAATGCCATCCTACAAGTGCCATGTCTTTGGTTTGCATGAATCCAAAAGTGAACAGTGAGAAGTGTGATTTGTAAGATACTGGTGGTGGAGGTCGGGGGGACAGCCCAGAGGTTGGGCTTTTACCTGCCTGACCACATGACTGTCATCTCTCACTTTCACACTCTCCTGACTGCACCAGAGTGGCTCAGGTTTAGGAGTGGCCACCTGTGCATCCAATTCCTGTTTTACGTCTACCTGTGGGTAATCCCTACATGTCACATCAGCCTCTACTCTGCTGCTTCCTCAACAGGAAAGCCAGCCCCAGATCCTGACTGGAACAGAGCAAGCCCACTCCCTAAGTTTACAGATAACACTCAACAATTACACAAATGATAGATGTGACACTGTACTTTTTTGGTGATTTTTGGATTAAAATCTTTCTCCCTCCACTAGGCTGTGAGGTGTATGAATGCACAAACAGGTGAATCCCCAGCCACTAGCTCTGTGTTCTGGTACATACGTACTTGCTTAATGAATGAATAAGTGAGTGAATAAATCAAAGAATGGACACTCATTTGTGTCCTGCACAGGGTCTCCAGGCTACTGGGCTGCTAGCTGCATCCACATAATCAGTTTCCTGGAAACCATACCACAGGCGACGTGCACCCTCCCAGCCTTTCCTATCTTCTCCTGCAACCTATAATACTATAAAAGTAATGACAAACCAATTCTATGACAGATTGGCCTGAAGTTAAACATAATACTTGATGCAGCATAAGTATACATGGGAAATGTATTATCAGGAACAGTTAGAAAAAATACATGTTCTTTATATCCATGTAATGGACCTACCTTTAACTATACTGAAGAACTAAGAGGGAGTGAACATTTCCATGTGAGGAGTTCACTGAAGTGCACTTATATTAGTGAGAATTTGGAAACAACACTCACCCATAAGGAGAACAATGAATAATTTATACCGTATCCATGCATTGGGTATATATTTTTACTAGGCTGTCATTAAAATAACGGTTTAAATTGTTTAATGGAACTCGTAACCATTTCACAATGTATATGTAAGACTGTCACGCTGTACACTTCACAAACACAATTTTGTCATTTACATCTCAACAAAACCGGAAAAGACGTATAATGGCTTGAGGAAATGCTCACTGCATCATGAGTAAAGAAGGCTACGCTATTTTACGTAGGAAACACTATGACCTAAAAACAAATCGATAAAACTGGACTGGAAAGAACTGTATCAAATTCTAAACCGTGCCAAAAGGAGCGCAGAAGCCCAACTCCAACGCCCTGGCTCGAGCCTCGCGCCCCATTTCCTGACAGGCTGGACCACGCCCCGCACGCAGGCGCCGGGGGACCGAGATTGACTGTTCAAGCTCCGTTGTACTCACCGCCCACTGACTGGAGGGGTGCCGGCTTTCCAGGTCCAGAACTGACCGGGTAGGTAGGTCACATGGTGCGCCGCACTGTTCGCGATCAGGTAGTGTTTCAAGCGTTCCTGGGCGGTCGCAGGATGGTGACGTCGGCCGCCAGCCTTGAGACCCGGCTGTAGCGAAAGGGTGCTGGTCCGGGAGGGTTGGACGTCTCCGCCTTCGGCTGGTAGCCGGTGAAATATGGGGTTCCAGCCCATACCTCTCTCCTGCAGAAGTGCCCCCAGTTCCCGGATGTTCCCTCTCGCCGGGCAGCCCGGCATACCGTTAGTGACGCTGGGAGCCGGCGGCGGGGCGCGTGGGTTCGGAGGCCGTGGTAGCCTGTCGCTGCGGCCTCGGGGCACCTACGAAGGGGAGCCAGCCCCGCCGGGCCCGCGGCCGCAACGACCGGGAGCCCCGGCGGGGCGTGAGCTCTCGTGCAGGAGCGACGTCGCCGGCTCCTGGGTAATTTTCCTGATGTGCGGATTCCAGGGCTCTGGAGTGCCACAAAGTAGGAGACATTCCAGAAGATCTGATTGAGCATATTTGGGGCACCTGGGGTGGTCAGTCAAGAGTCTGAGTTTTAGCACCTGCCTTAAATTTGGTCCAATTATCAGAACTTTCCCACAAGGTTAGTTGGTAAAATGTGTATGTTTTTGAGAGACCCTACCCAGTATGTCTCATCTACCTGGAGGCTTCATTGCTCAGGTCAGGCTCAGATCGGCTGTTCTGTGGGAAGAAGTGAGGCCACCCCTTGCGGATGCCTGAAACTTTAATGCTCTTTACTTCTGGCTGCGGAAACATAGTCCTAATTCCTAAATGAGATTTTAAGTGAAAAAGCAAGGTGTGTGTACACTGTATAAAAAATGGAATCAGCATAGAATAGCAAATGTCCTCACGTTAAAACCCTACAATACAGTCCCTTAAGGACAGTGTGGAGAAAGTGAAGGTTCCTATGGCCAGGATTCTCACCTGGCCCTCGTGGGCTTGCTCGTTACACTCATGTGGGCAATTCTTTGCTGTGACTCTATAAAGGGTTCCACCCAGTGCTCTGGGCTACTGCAGAGCTGCAGGAGAGCAGAGGCTGAATTGGCAGCACCAAGGACAGAGAGGCCCAGAGGCAGATACCAGCTTGCTGCATGCAGACTCGCTCTGAGTAGACAGGATTCTAGTGATTGACCTGTCACCATGGTAATAAAGTTGGGTATGAACCCTTTCACCCCAAGAATGTTCCACTGTAATTTTTTTTTTTTTTTGGTATCGTTGAATCCATAGTGAACTTGTCCCGGCCTGAAACCCATTGGCAAGACAGCTATCCTTAAATTTTACCAATCCTTAAAGAAAGTCTGTTCCTATAGTGCAAGCCTACATGGAATCTTACCATTTTTTTTTTAACACAAATCAATTTCATCTATAGAATGAGGTTGAAAATAGTGCAAAGTCCATGGAACAGTTCTTGGGATGTTGATCACCCTGCCAGTAATAACTTAATATTCTAGTTTAAACTTTTCTGACTACCTGTGAATCTCAAGGATTGTTTCATATCACTCATACCATGGGCACGTCTGCCTCTTGTTTTCAAGGCTGCACAGTAATCCTTTTTTTGGAAATACAATTTGCTTGATCTCTTAGTTGTGAACATTGGGATGTTTCACTGTTACTACTGTGATGGATTATCTTGCATGAAGGTGTATGTGTTTATGGTCCACTGCAAATGCAAAATGCATGTATATAGAAATGGAACTATAGGGATAAGGAGTATGACTTTTTAAATGTCACTTGCCCTTAGAAGAGCTTACACCAGTCAACACCCTCAACAGCTGGGCAGGAATGCTCCTTTTCATGAACCCTGGCCAACATGGGGTACAGCAAAATATGGTCCATTATCACTATGATGAATGAAAAGTGGTGATTGATAGCAGTTGGACAGCTTTGACTTCTTGCTGAAAGACCCATCAAATTCTTACACACTAAAGGTGTTTATCGACTTTCAGAAGACTTGGAGGTGGGGCCTGTGGGCTTCATGCCTAGATTAGTCCTGTGGGGATCAAAGCCAAGCCCAGTTTCCTTTTTTCCCCTCTGCTCTTCAGCACTGTTGGCTGGGCCCAGGCCTCTGCACCCGCTCTTCTTGCAATTGCAATAGGATTAGTCTGCCTGAGACCCATTAGGAGGTCAATTCGGAGATAAGCAGGAGTTCAATCCCCTGAAAATCTGTTACAAAGTGGAATTCTAGGAAAATTGCTGCAATGTCCACCACAATCCTCCTTTGTATTTTGCATTTTTAAAATGAAGTTGGGGTGAACATCTTGTCTGATATCAGTGGCCATCTGTATTTCTGGGATCTATTTCTGGAATCTGCACATATGAATCTTTTTCCAAGCATTCCATTTTGCTAAGCCTTTTATCAATTTATGGATGCTCTAAATGGTAAATTATCTTTGTCCTGTATAGCAAATATTTCCCTCTGTTAGCATCCTTTTGTAAGCTATGAACATCTCTTAATCTGAGGCTGAGGATTGTTTCTGTTGGTTTTTTAAATGGGGCTGAGACTAGGTAAGGTGAGTGGATGTCTAAGGCATACAGTGAAAGGAGGAACTGGCTCCTAGGCTTGTTCAGATGCTGACCTTGCACAGGCATGGCCCTGAGAGCAGTGCCTCCGTTAAGTTTTGCACCCCTAGGCACCCTGTCTCACTCAGACCCGGGCCTGTGTCTCCAGTTCAGAGAAATCTTCTGCAGTTATCTGTTTGCTCTTTACAAAGGAGAGAGTGTACTAGAATTAGAAGTATTGTGGGGAAGGCATGACTGGTGTTTAAGATCAGCTAAAACAGCATCTAAGTTCTGGTCTTCTCCCAAAGACCCTGGACTCTAAAAGCAGCTCCTCCAGACTCTTCTTTCTAATCCAAAAGAATAAACTCATCTTGAGGTGATTATTGGGGAATTTAGGATTCTTTGCTTCTGTTGCTCTGGTCAAGTCTCAGCTTCAGGGTCAGACCCTTAAAGGATACCCTTCCCATCTTGCCCCAGATGCTTTAGGGGTTGGCATAGATTGTATTGTTGGTCAGTGGTCTCAATTTCTCACCCCCACACATGTCCATCCTCTCCCCCTTGCATCTTAGCTTCTTCCATAAGTGGTAGTCTCTGTTTCCATATCTGTTGACTGTGAACTCAGCAATGTGACTTGATGAGGCTCATGGAATGTGCAGAAGTGCCAGTGTGCTGGGTTCAAGCCTTGGCCTCGGGAGTTCAAGCCTGTTCCTGCTTGCCCTCTTGCACCTCTTGCATCACCATGAGCCTGCCCTGAGGAAGCCCTCTTCCCCAGGAGGAAGATGAGGACTTGGGGAGCAGAGATTTGCTGGCTAAGGTGAACCTGCTCAGGTTAGGCTAGAAGCAGCCCCGGACGACTTGCAAATGAATGAGATCCCCAGGCCTCAGCCTTGTATCCACCTGAAAAGTGTCCTCTGTATAGAAGAAGCTTCTGTGCAGCTGAGGTTTTGGGAGTGTTTGTTTCCTAGCATTACTGAAGCTGTAGACAACCTGTACAACCTCACAGAAACCTGTGCAGCCCTCTTCCCTTTGTATTTTCATGTTGATTCCTCACGTCAGGCAATAAACTGCCAGCACACAGATTCCAATTTATGGATGTATGTTATCTCCAAAGACTAACAACGCATAGACATCATAATCTTAGCCAAATTCACAAATATTTTATTTTGCTGTAACCTATGTTTTATTTTAGCAGAGACACAAGATGTTTTAAAGTATTGCTATACTCCTTTGTTGGGAAAGCGCTGAAAACATTAAGTTTATCCTTAACAGTGTGGGTAAAATTAATTAAATTTTTGCCTGGTTGTCCTTAATCTCAGGAATGGTGGGGACTAAAGGACTAAAACCTGGACTCATATATGTAGGCCTCTGTTAACAACCCAGGACCCTCAGAGACCCGTCTCTGGCTCCTCTTGCCTCCCACCCAAGGTTAGGCAGGGTTTCTGCCCAGAGAACTGCAAGGCAGGAGGCTCTTAAGGGTCTGTGGTCCTGCAGGCTTGACTTTAGGGACTGTAGGGAAAAGGGAAGTTCCTACAGCCAAGATCCTCACTTGGCCCTAATCTACTTGATGATGTAATTGGCCTCCTGCTAGGCTAATGCTTACAGGCAAGTTGGCACTTAAGCCAATATTGCCTGTGTTGCTATATAAAGAGCTCCGCCCAGTGCTTGGGGCAGACCAAAGGCTGGAGAAGAGGCAGAGACAGAGACAGACTTCCTGAATGCAGATGTGATTGTAGCACTCAACCTACCACTGTGAGAATAAAGCTTGGTATAAATCCTTTTAACTACAATGTTCTGTTGTATTTTGGTCTCACCAAATCCAGAGTGAACTTGCCGGGAACCCCTTCCAGCCGGGAGCTACAGGAGTGAAGCACTGGTCATGGGTGGGCTCGCTTGGCCTTGCCTGGTGCTCCAAGGCAGACCTCCGGCAGGAATTTCCATTCACAAGACAAAACCTTATATAGCCGACCTTGGTGTCCACCCCACAGGCCAGGTTCTTTCCATGCTGACCTGAGCTGTTCTCTCCTGGGGGCCTGTCTCTGGTCAGAGGAGGAGGAGAGCTGCCCTGTGGGTTGCTCAGGTCTCTCTTGGCACTTGGGTTATGCCTGGCTGGCTGCCTGCACATGGGTGGGCACTGCCTGATCACTGCCAGTGGGGCATGGAGGAATGAGGGACCTGCTGGAGGCTGGCAGTCCATGGCCAAGGTCTCTGCACACAAACTTGGCCCCGAGTGAGGTGAGTGGCCCATGTCCTCCCTGCCCAGCACACATATTGCATGCCTGCCATGGGAATAAAGCATGGGACCTTATTAAGAATAAGGTCCATGGTCATGGCATCAGGTGGTGGCCCAGCTAGCCACCACCACAGGATAAGGACAATAAACATATAGCCAGCCAGAGGTGAGGCACACGGGGCCAGAGGCAGGGTGGCCGAGGCTTGCTCTGAGTAGGAGGGTGAGCTCTGAGCAAAGCCCAGGAGGTGTGGGCACAGCAAAGGGTCTCCAGACACCCAGAGGAGGTGAAAGGAAGATGTGGCATGGATGGGTCTGGTTAGACCCCCAAGTATGCAGGGCTGGCAAAGAATGTGCACGGGTCTCCACTCCCCATCCAGCCCACTCCTATGGTTCTAGGATGCCACCAGATAGGGCTCTGGGTGCCTGCTGCGGAGCCTTGCAGCCTGGGGAGTGGGTGGTGGCTGAGCAAAGCTGGTGGGAGCCAGGGAGGGTTCCTGAGCCCAAGAAAAGTGCGGGATTGGGATGGAAAACACCCTTGTGATGCTGGGGTTTTTGTTTGAGGAGCTGAAGAATGAGTTTCACAAAGTCAAGGTAGGAGAGTAAGGTACAGGCTTTTATTTAGAGACAGTGAAAGGACAGAGCTCCCGGCTCACTCCAGGAGGGGACAAGAGAGTCTGTA